AGAGAAGAGAGAGAGAGAGAGAGAGGGGAAAACAGATGGAAAGAGAAACGCTGACAGCAAAAAAAGGGCTGTAAATATAGCAACACGTCCTGCTCCCTCCTACCATTTAGATTTGCGGAATTTAGACATTTCAAGTTCAAAATGACAAAACACTGAGGGTCGAGTGTAGAGTAAAGCACACACACACAACGTTGAGCTGACAGAATGTAAAGGTTATTAGTAGAAAAAAAAAAAAGGGGGATGCGTCTGGAGAACCATTCCACTGTTTAATAAACGCTGTTTCCACTGAACACTGTATGAGTAACACTCGCAAGAACACGCGCACTACACACACACAAATACCACATTTGTAAAAAGATAATAATCTGAGATAATCTGGCTGTATTCCAGTTCCACTTTAGATTTCAATAAATGATGGAAGGTGACTCTACAGACACCAGCGGAAGTACATTTTAGTACTGTACTGAAGTACCATTATGCTGCTCTGTACTTCTAGCTGACTTACATGTAAATGAAAATGGACTGCACTATACATAGGCACCTTTCTAGTCTTCCAACCACTCAAAGTGCTATAATAGATTAAGCTGTATGTAGTCTCTTTCTCTCTCTCTCCCTTCCTCTCTTTTGCTCTCTGTTCATTGTTTAAACTCCCTCTCTTCATTCTGTACAGTATGACTCTGTCTTTATGTAACAGGATTTACAGACAGACGAGCCAATAAAGAGACTGACAGGGGAGTCTGGGTTTACCAAAAACCCCTTCAAATCCACAAAATCTAATTTTCTTTGTTTGGTTAGTTTTTGACTTTTTTAAAGAATAACTTGATCCTCCTGACTGCTTCCATGATAACAGCCTCTTAGAAAGCTCCAGATCCTGCAGGAGGAATCAAAAGGACATGTTTTATCTAAATTTGTATTGTTTTTGTTCCTCTTTAGTTTGATCATGAACCAATCTTAATGTTTAAAGTAAATTAGTTATTTTATTTAGATTAAAAAACAAGAAAATAAAACTAGACTCGTCCTCCTCTTTCTCTACGCCACACATAATATATTTCTTTTATCATTATCTGAGGTGTCAGGGAATGTTTTATTACTCTCAGAGTTAAAACACTGTAGAGAAAGACTCTTTCCAGCACAACATGGACTGCGTGAGAGTCTTCAGAGGATACATCACACAGACCTGAGGATCTCAGGCTGAGTGGGAGGACATGAGAGAAAAAAACCTGTCAGGAGAGGATGACAAGACTGAAGGATGACAGCACACAGCTCTGACAGAGGAAGGAAGGAAAGAGGGAAGGAAGGAGGGAGGGAGGGAGAAGGCGGGTGTGACAGAGTTTGAGTGAAGAGAGGGAAAGGAGAGAAAGATGGTCGACATATTGGCAGAGCAAAGATCTATACTTACCACTTATTAAAGTATCAATAACTCAGTGAAATCAATAAATGAATCATTTCTTTTCAGGGCTTTGTGACGGGCGGAAAGGACGGCGTGGTGGAGCTGTGGGATGACATGTTTGACCGCTGTCTGAAGACGTACGCCATCAAGAGAGCAGCGTTGTCCCCAGGCTCTAAAGGTACACACAACTATAACCCTAACCCTAGCCTGAGCTCAGCCTAACATCAGCCTAACCTAAACCTAACTTCAGCCTAACTTCAGCCTAATTTCAGCCTGACCTTAACCCGACTATATGTCCTCACTTTCATATTTTTTGTACCTCTTTTTTATGTATTATGTATTTTGTAGATTACCTGATGGTTAGCGTGGTCATAACTGCTGTCCCTGTTTGTCATTATAAGTAAAGCAGTTGTCAGCTATAGAAGAGGCTCTTTTATCCAACACTGCCATCAGGTGGACACATTGTGACACACACCTCTGTCTGTAAAACTATAAATATCTGTTTTGGAAAATATTTTCATAACTCTTCCGGTGGCGCGCCTCTGCAGCGACCCGGGCTTGTGCTACTGTTGCTAATGTCTTGTTGTTTTTGTGTTTTAAGTGGTCATGTTTGATGGCAGTACGCTCTGCATTGAAGATGCCATCCTCTGCATTTCGCACTTTACTTCTAAGCACCTTGAGAACACAAAAGCCTATGCTAGAATTGTATTTATTGATTTTAGTTCAGCATTTAATACAGTGCAGCCCTGCTTTTAGAAAAGCTCAAGGATATGAGTGTTAACCCTTCCTTGATCAAATGGTTTTATTCTTTTTTAACTAATAGGACACAACAAGTGAAAATTAATGAGACATTGTCAGAGACCAAACATAGCGATACTGGGGTCCCACAAGGTTGTGTGGTATCACCTATACTTTTTACACTGTACACTAATGACTGTAGGAAAGTACACCCCAATAATTATATTATAAAATTTGTTGATGATACATCGATCCTGAGCCTTCTCCACAAGGACATGGACCCTTCTGTGTACCGTAATGAGACAGCCACCTTTATTAAGTTTATTAAGTCTTTGACCCGAGACAAGTAACTGACGACAAGACAGTGGTCATCAAAAACCAGAAAATTAGCCAAGTGTCCTTGTATAAATATTTAGGTGTCCAAACACACATTTATCACCTGTGTAATCGTCTGCAGCAGAGACTGTACTTTCTAAGGCGACTGCGACTGTACGGTGTGAGCAGCCAGATCATGCTGATGTTCTACAGGGCGATCCTAGAGAGCATCATTAAATATGGATTCACAGCATGGTTTGGCAACTTAACAGTGCAGCTGAAAACCAGGCTGGCCAGCACGCACAAAATAGCCATGACGATAATAGGGAGTAAAGAATATAAGCCCATACAGGGCCTATATGAGCCTACAGTCATGAAACAAGCGGAAAAAAATCATTGTGGACCCTCAACATCCCCTCTTCTCTGAATACGAACCTCTGCCATCAGGAAGATGACTCTGTGCCAAAGTGCAAATCAAACAGACCGAAGTTATCGTCCCGACTTCTATAAAGCTGTTGAACTCCAATACTAAATCATTAGCAATAGGGCAATGTGCAATAAACAAACCAACACCGTAGCACTTTAATTCTTGAGTCTCTGACAGTCTCTTTTTAAGATGCCACATTGTCAGTGTTAAATGTATAGTGTCTCTATGTTTTAAGATGTTTTTATGTTGATTTTTTAATTGTTTTTTTATGTGTGTCTGTTGTTTAGGTATGTTTGCTTCTGTGAAGCAACAAGACAAATTTCCCCTCGGGGACAATAAAGTTTATTCTATTCTATTTTACTGACTATTAAATTGACTTTGTGTGTGTGCAGGCCTGCTGCTGGAGGACAACCCCTCCATCAGAGCCATCACTCTGGGTCACGGTCACATCCTGGTGGGAACCAAAAATGGAGAAGTTCTAGAGATAGACAAGACCGGACCAATGACCCTGCTGGTGCAGGTATGTTCAGTCGACAGTTTAACTTTTGTTTTAACTCAAAGCTCAAGGCATATTTAACTGCAGGTAACCATAGCAACGGTACTGTGTGTTGAGATGTGGTGATTGCAAAGGCCATAGCATGTGATTCACATCATTTTATTCTTATCAAACCATTCAGTGAGCCCTCATGCATTGTCATCCTGGAAGAGACCGCTCCCATCAGGAGAGAAATGTTTCATCACAGGATAAAGGCGATCACTCAGAACAGCTTTGTATTTATTGGCAGTGACCCTATCTTCTAATGTGGACAAGTGGACCCAAACCATGCCAGGAAAATTTCACCACAGTATAACAGAGCCACTCTCTGTAGGGGTCAATCATTTAGGCCCACAGAATATGGTGAAGGATGACTCATCTGAGCATATCACTTTTTTCTCTGTAGACTAGAGCCTATATGGTTTTTGCAACACTGAACTCTCAAATGTGCATTCATCTTTGTAATGAGGGGTTTAAACACTGCAACCCTACACGTATATATTTCTGACTGATCTCAGAGGCAACTGGGCCTGCTCAGCATTTCATACACGCCACAGAGCATGATTGGATGTTTGTTGTATAATTGAACCATGCAGTTGACCTGTGTTGAAGCATCTGCATTCATTGTGTTTCTCCACTCAGTTATTGAGGTTTTTCCTTTAATTTGTCACCTGTCTGTACATTTCCATGACAACTGAGCAAAGTCATGTGATACGATCAAAAACTCCAGAATGGCTGCTGGATGGACCTTGTAATGCATGTCTTCATCAAATTTATCAATTCGCTCACGTGTGAGTGCATGTGTATGTGTGTGTGTGTGGATAGCAGATATTTTTAAATGTCTGATAGTCTGGTACGGCACCTGTTGCCATGGTGAGGGGAGCTGACTCCTGCAGATCGATCAGCAGTTGCACACACACACAGATTAACAGTCTCCACAGTTTTCGGTCTAGATGAACTACATTAACTACATGTAGTGTGAGTGTGTGTTTGTATTTGTATGACGTGTGTGACTGTGTGACTTGATTTTAGATGTTCACATTTTGTAAAGCATGCAAAAGTGTGTGTGTTCATGAAAGTCTTGTGAATGTGTCTTTCAGAAAGGTGTAGGTTTGGTTTTAGAAGTGGGGGGAAATATAACATATGCTATTTCAATTTTCATTGTCATTAGACCTCATAAAAGATACACAGCTAATAAATATATTGAATATAGATCTTATATTTGCACCTTTACTACAAAGAGCTCTGGGCTTTCCTACCTTACTGTAAATACTGTATGATTAATGCTCAATTCTAGAAAACGTTCTAATCTAATGTAGAATATATTAACTATGTTAGAGTACTACTCCTGTATATGTAGCCTGAAAGACAAAATCCAGGGCTCGCACTCGTGCTGCTCGTTTATGCTTATGGTTGTTAGAACTGTACACAAGGTAATAACTGATTATCAGCTCCTCTCTCTTCTGTTGATCAAAAACAGCACACTTACTTATTAGTCTTCCTGTTGATTAAAATGTTTGTGTGTGTGTGTATGTGTGTGCAGGGTCATATGGAGGGCGAAGTTTGGGGTCTGGCCACTCACCCCCTCCTCCCCGTCTGTGCCACCGTCAGTGATGATAAAACCCTGCGACTGTGGGAGACGTCAGCCAATCACCGCATGGTGGCCGTCCGCAAGCTGAAGAGAGGTCAGACCGCCAATTTTACATGTATTTTTTGTATCCTGTACAAATCCTGTATATTTGACATTTGTCAGTTTTTAGATTTTCTTCCTTCTAGAAAGCTGTTGGTTTCAGTTCATTTCTATGAAAATCTGTGGCCTGTTCAGGGTTTCGAACACTGAATTCTTCAAGAGATTCAGAGCAAAAACCTCCATGGTGTCTGAGGTCAGCATTTAGTCCGTCTAACTGTCCCATCCCAGGTTACCTATGATGGCGACCTATGAGTTTCATTTTGTGTTACTCTACCCAGATGTCTAGACCATTAGACCCATAGATCTGTTGATGAGTACAGGGTAGTTGGGGTGTCCACATCTGGGACAGAGTCATATCATCCACATAATTGCAGTGGTCTGTTCTGTCCTGGAGAGCCTTGAAACTCAGAGTACATTTACTCAAGTACTGTACTTAAGTACAAATATGACGTAGGCCTACTAACTTCTTCTTCTTCACTGCAGACTTAAACTGTTTCCATCGGGGTGGCCAGGCTGAGGCCAGTACTCACTTTAAAGTCTTTCTCAGTTTTTTCTGCGTGGCATGGCGCTGTAGAGGTTAGATTATGATGTTTGCTTCGACCAAAATTAAGTCCCTGAAAGCGCCATCATCATCATCATCAGCTTTCACTACTTTTATACCTTGTACCTGAATTTCTTCTGCTTGGAGTTTGGTTCCTCAACAACAGATTTTCTTAATAAGACGCTGTCAGACCAGAATTTGCTTCCCATTCATTTCTATGCAGCACAAAACTCTCCCTTCAGACTACAGCAGTGAGTGGGTTGAATGCAGAGTGGGTTGTGGAGGGGCAGGACGAGATGGGTGCGCTGCTAAAAGACGTCCCCAGTGGAGTTGGCAGCAGTAGAGAAATGGTTAAGCACAAGAAAAAAATTACCAAAATATGGCGTTAAGGGGGTGGCCAGACTTTAGCCTATGGTGGCCACCCCCTGACTCCGCCTTTGCAGAGGGAAACATTATATTTTACTATAACTATGTGACAGCTTTAGTTACTAGTGACTAACTGTGAAGACTCACATGGACTTTTTAAAATGTTGTTTATTTATATGCAGTATTCATATTGTTTTCAATTCAATTGTATTGTGTAGCACCAAATCAAAACAGAAGTTATCTCTAATAGTGCAGATCCAGACCATACTCCATACTTAAAATTAAAGTATAAGGAGTTGGATAGCTGAGTCTCTTTTACAGCAAAGCCCAGTTAATATTTTAATACAATGATGGACACAGAATAAGAAAACCAGACAGAGTCAGTAAATAAAACAGAGAAGTTGGGTGATAGAAATGCCAGGCAGGGGGAGAATTTTGGAGGGAGGTATATGTGTTTTGAATTTTTAGCAACATTGCAGAATTTTCGAGATTAGTTAGGGCATTTTATGCCTTTATAAGGCATAAGACAATAGTGAGCTGACAGAAAATGAGGGGACAGAGACAAGGGAAGATATGCAGTGAAGGTCACTGGCAGGACTGGAGACATTACAGCCCACACATGGACATCAGAATACCGAGTCAGGGAGTAATCAAATTACCTTTGACCATGTAAAAACAAGACAAAACTGACTGATTAACTAAGTTATTTACTGTCAAGTTAACTGACTGTGTACGTGTGTGTGTTTTCCAGGCGGTCGCTGCTGTGCCTTCTCTCCGGATGGGAAGGCGTTGGCAGTGGGTCTGAGCGATGGCGGCGTGCTGGTGGTAAACGCTGACACATTGGAGGATCTGCTGAGCTTCCACCATCGCCGCGACGCCATCTCTGACATCCGCTTCACCCCAGGTACATACACACGCACACACACACACACACACAAATATGGCTGTGTCTCTGCAGAGGACGTACTGTATCTACTCACGCTCTCTTTACCTGACATTCTCTGGCACACACACCGTCTCAGACTCAGGTAAATTCCTGGCTGTGGCGTCCCATGACAGCTTCGTCGACATCTACAACGTGCTGAGCAGTAAGAGAGTGGGGATCTGTAAAGGAGCGTCCAGTTACATCACACACATCGACTGGGATGCCCGAGGTAACACACAGTGCTCTCTCTCCCTTTCTCTGCTGCTCATTTTTAAAGTCTCCCTCAACATAAACATATTTGACTTACGACTGTACTACTGCAACAGCATCTCCATCCCTGCCCCCTCCCTCTGGAACTTGCCTTTCAACGAGGTTGAAAGAGGAGATGTCACACATGTAACTGAATGTTAAAAATTATATCAGACACAAAGGGTTAAAGGGAGACTGAGTACCTTTTGTTGAACAGTGACCTCTGTGGCCACAAGTGACAATTACGGGATAATAGTAAATGCTAAAAGTGAACAAGAGGAGGCCATAAGGTCATTGGACTGACTCATTAAGAACACTATGACATTAACACTCTCTGCTACCCTCAGCTCCTCAGACGACGAGACGAGGACCTAAAAGGATGCTTCACTATGGGTCTTTGTTCTGACTTTAGAGATAATTAAAAGACCACTACCAGAAGACCTGAGGGCTGTAGGGGGTTCATAGTGTAAAAGCAAATCTGATTAATAAGTAGGACCAAGACCATTAAGAGCTTTATAAACCAATAAAAGGAAGCTTCAGTGCAACAGTGTTGGCTTGAGAGAGAAACTGTCTCACTCTGGCAATGTTCAAATGCATGTGTGTGTGTGTGTGTGTGTGTTTGTTGCAGGTAAACTGCTGCAAGTGAACACAGGAGCCAAAGAGCAACTTTTCTTCGAAGCCCCGAGAGGAAAAAGACAGACCATCAGAAACTCTGAGGTTAGTGCTGCTGCCCCCCCTGCTGGCCAGAGTGAAACACAGGAAATATAATTACAGTTTCTGTTGAAGTGCTTGTGGATGCATTATACTGTTGTTGTTCAGGTGTGAGAACTGTGTGTGACCTGCTCAACATGTATATTTATAATATACAGTATTATACTATACTATATTATATGTTTTTATTCTATGCTATATTTCTGTGATAAAGTATATATTGTATATTATTATTATTATATTACTACATTTCACCTTATGTTATGTATACCTATGTGCTATCTTATATCCCATACTAGATTATACAGTAATGTGCTATATTATCCTAAATTATGTTAATATGTAAAATGTTATTTTGTTTATTACATTATATACTGTATTTTATTTCTATTATATTTCTTTTTTAACAGGGGCGGCATCGAGTGGCCACCCCTAAAAACTGCATGGCTGCCAAAAAAAATTGTTAAATTTAATTCATTTAATGAATTAGGTTAGATTAATTTTAAAAAATAAGTGTTAAAAACGTACTTGTGATGTAATGTTTATAAGTTCAAACATCGTCATTTGGGGGTTTTTCCAAGAAAATATTGATTTATGTACAATTATTGTGTTTTCGTTACCTTGGAATGAGTCGTTTATATCTACAGACTGTGCAGGAGGGTAGGAACGAGTGAGTTGCAATCTGCAACTACACCGCTAGATCCCACTAAATCCTAAACACTGGACCTTTAAGTAACTTGTATTAGTTTAGATTCCAACACTGGTTGTGGGTACTGTGTGGTGGTGGGTGTGTTGTGTGGTGTGGGTGTTGTGTGTGTGTGTGTTCTGCTAACCTTGTAATTTTGAGTTACATTTTTATCTTATGTTGTATAATTTTTTATCATTTACTTTTCTCTATTTGTCTGAAATTATTTCTGTGTGTGTTTAGCTGGAGCGGATCGACTGGTCCAGCTGGACGTGTGTTCTGGGTTCAAGCTGTGATGGGATCTGGCCGACGCACAGTGACATCACCGACATCAACGCTGCGTCGCTCACCAAAGACCGAACGCTGTTCGCCACTGGAGACGACTTCGGCTTCCTCAAACTGTTCAGCTACCCCGTTCGAGTACGACAGACAGACTCACTGGTCTTTACACATGAGCTATTAGATAGGGAATATGCGATAAACATCTACTATATTTAGGAAGTGAAAGACCGATTTCTTGTCTTCTTTCTTTTTCCTCCTTTCTTTCTTTCTTTCTTTACTACTTTCTTCCTTTTTTTTTTCTCCCTTCTTCATCTATGATGCATTATAAGCACATTCATAAGACATTAAAATTAATTTATAAGGCTTTATAAAACTACAAATGTTTAGAATAATGCATGACAACTTATAACAAGGTTTATTAAGTACCATTAGGGACAACAGTGTTTGAAAGAAGAATCTGAGTCCTGGGTTACACAGCACATTATATCTACCAGAACTCATACACACATAGAGAACTGCTCCAAAGCACCATAATAGATCTTAAATTCTATGTTTCTGTGTGGAATAATGTCTTATAAACATCGATAATATGCTATAGAATGATTTTTTGAGCTTTAAGTCAGCTGTACCGAGGTGATTTACTCCTCTGAGTAAATTACAGTCAATCTTCCTTTGTTACAATTTCCAAAAAATATGATAAACTCTAGATTTCCGTGAGAAACCTGCAGGACTTTGACTTGTGCAGTGTTTTTTCATTGTTGTATTACTTGTATATGAACGGGTCATTCTCCTCCCCCTCCACCCTCCAGGGTCAGTACGCCCGTTTCAAGCGCTATGTGGGCCACAGCGCCCAGGTGACCAATGTCCGCTGGGCTCAGGACGACTCCGCCCTGCTGACGGTGGGCGGTGCCGACACTGCACTGATGATCTGGGCGAGGGAGCGAGGAGGTGGGGTCAGCGGAGAGGGGGAGGGGCCTTTGTGTCGTGACAACCGACCGCCCGTGGACAGTGAGGAGTCGGATGATGACACTGAGGAGGACGGAGGTGGGTGTGTCTGTCATTAGAGCTGATTTTAAAAAAGAACACTGACCGTGACGTCAAATCAGATGACATTTTTTATAGGTAGTTCATGGACAAGTGTCATATTTTATAATTTAAATGTCTTATTCAAAGAAAAGGTTATATGCTTGATTTGTAAAGACTTTATGTCCAATAAAAAATAATTACCCAAGACCCAAGCCTGAACGCCACAAACTGGCCGGGATCAGGTTGTAGAACTCTTCATTTATGAGTGTGTGTGTGTGTGTGTGTGTGTGTGTGAAGGTTACGACAGTGACGTTGCTCGGGAGAAGACGGTGGATTACACCACTAAGATGTACGCTGTCAGCCTCAGAGAGATGAGAGGAACCAAACCTCACCAACAGCTGAAGGAGCTATCTGCTGAGGAGAGGTATGCACACACACACTGTCACCATCACAACAGGTTATTTTAACTAAAATTGTTCAAACAGATTACATTAACAACTCAAACTCAGTTCTGTAAGTTAAAAAAGATTATTTTTTTAACAGCTTTTACTTGCAATTTTAAGTCACACTAACTTAGTTTTGTAACTTGTTTATTTGAATGTTTTTTTTACTTACAAAATTTAGTTAGTTTTACTCAACAATGTAATGAGTTTCAACAATTTTTTGAGTTGACTTATCTGGATTTTACAGTACAGTTTGGATCCACAGTTTAAAGCTGCACCAGACCACTGTGCATCCTGCGTGAAAGTGGGACCCCATTACACTTTTTTCCTGCAGTTTATAAACACTGTTGCCCGTTGGCATTGATCAGATGTAATGAATAGTTGTATTTCACTTTCACACTCACAGGACAGCCCTGAAACAGACAGACAGACAGACCAAGAACTGAAGCTGGTAGTAAGACAGACAGAGTAAAGAGACTTAAAGTTACTGTTATTTGCTGACATCAAACTTGGAGAGGAGAGAACACAAGTTTACCTGATTCCTGTTGTGACACCCGCTTTGACACAAGGGGGAGATGAGGCCTTTTTGTAATTTGCGGGGCCCTACGCAGCTTG